TCCTCTCCAAAAAAAATATGATAAATTTGAACATCGAAAATTGGCGTTATCATATAGTAATTTCACAAAAAATGAAAATATGAGAATTGTTTATCATAGTATTCGATCATTTCATAAAAATATGGGATATATAATGTGTGATCCATGGTATATGGGAGCAGATATTATAATATTTTCAGAAACTTTTACAGCATCAAATGATCGTATCAACTTAAAAAATTTTCATTTAGTATGTCGAACCGATCCCGACAAGAAGAGCTGCTCAAAAGGTATCTTCATTTTACAAAATGACAGTCGAAGAATTAAAAGGTCTGTTATTAATCACAACAAAATTGATTGTGAACATAGTCATTTGGATTGATTTTATTCCGAATTGATAATGTAGAAATAATAACTGGATATAAATCTCCATCATTCAGTCACGCAATATTTCTTAGAGAATTAAAATCAATGATTGAATTGATGGATACTCACAAATCAAAAATTATAATCGGAGATTTCAATTTCGATACTTTCGATGACAATAATTCATTTGAAAAATATTTGAACATTCATAATTTCCAGCGCGGCTTAGGATTAAACATATCGACTACCAATTTCAATACTCAAATTGATATTGTGTTTGTTAATAATCTTTGTCATTATTCATGTGGAACTTATGAGCCTTTTTTCTCCGATCATAAACCAATTTGCATCGAATTGTGCACTCCAAATAATACATCGATTGATGCCGATCAAAACTCAGAATCTACCACGATTTTATATAAAACTGACGCAAACACTCTAAATGCGAAGGTGGAGCTGAATCTATTCGATCATCAATTTAAACCGAACTCAGACATATATGGTTGTTCAAAGATTCCATCAAGTAAACAACCGCAAGACGAGGAGAGGACATTTATATTCAACAATAAGAATAGTCTACAAGAATGGTCAATAGATGAAACTGAATATTTTGAACATGATAGAACGTTCAATTTTACTGAAGGGAAGCTGCCAAAGCATGATAATAGAAGTAATACTTCAAATCATGAATCAGCATTATCAGCTGAACGACTTTGCGAAAAAACAGAAGTGTACATACTCAGAAATGGCAATATATGCGATCCAATAATTGACCAAGATATTTCTTTTTGCCTTCAGCCGACATGCGGATTTGACAGTATTGTTCAAATATTGATTGCGGCGTGTACTGCAGAAAATTTTTTTAATGACATCATTCGTTCCAATACTACTGAATTTGAGTTCATCAAATATATAATTATGAATGATGAAGTTGATGAACAGTATGTTCGGCAGCTGAGATTGAATATTTTCCAGTCTAAGGAATTTTTTCAAAAACAAATGAGATTCTGGTCTGATTTGGTAATTGTAAACGCATTAATGACAGTAGCAGAATTATGTCCCATAATTTTCAATCACAATCCAAGTTATTCAATGACAGCAGAGTGTTTATCATGTGGTAATAGAAAAATTGATGAGGTGATTATAGAACCCAGTTTTGCAGCAATATTCAATTATGGCCACCTCTATTGTCAAAATTTCCACGAAATATTAGATACGACCATCCATGAAATTCTCAACGGAGTTAGTATCAAGTGTACACAATGCATTTTGAAAAGTGTACACTTCCATAACCATCTTTTCATCAACTGTCCATCAGATCATAAATTTCAAGTTCCAATACATGATTTCACCACAACATTAACTGTTAATAATAAACAATATGTTCTAGCCGGAATAGTAAACTTTCATGATCCAGAATCCATTAATGAACATAGTTTTGGGCATTATACAGCATGCATTATGAAGGGAGAGAAATGGTTCATTGTAGATGATTTGATTCCTCATAAAATTGTTGAAGTGTCCTCATTCCATCGAGTAAATCCTCATCTATGTATATATGTGAAGTAGAAATGGACTGCATAATTGAATATTTATGGAGCTTATGCATATCATAAATCCTGAAGGAATACAACATAAGATTTATGAATGTTATGAATGAATATATCGCCTTGACAAATGAAAAAAAGGAAGTGTTGTATTTTTCGGCTCCAAGAATTATGAGCCAAAAATAATTTTACATATATATATATATAGGTATATGTTAAGAATCATATCTGAAATCAGGATGTTCCATACGGTTGATTAGCGGTAGAACGTTTGATCGTTCAACGTTTGAAACTGATCGACTTTTGGGCACAAATTAGTCTTTGTGTGTGTTCGATACCGGATCTGGTTATTGTGGAATAATTAAGGGATGGATGAGATATTGATGGATTTTCTAGGAGAGCGAGCGAGGGTCTATAAATCACTACACGTGTCTCTGGTCACAATAAATGATTTAATGACTTGAATCGTCGTTGAATATTCACAAATATTTATACTGAGAAGAATTTGAAAAGGCCGGAATAAATAGAGCTAAACTGCGTTATTGAGCGAACCGTAAACAGAATAATTATCGGAAGACTCGTGAGAATACTCAGGAAACTGAAAACACCATGTAAGCGTCACAATAGTCGGAATATAAATGAGGGCGATCAATCATCCGGCAGGTGGCAGGTGGCGAAATCAGAGGTGCGAACGTGTCCCAATTCGCAAATTGGAAACGTTTGCTGATTGCGGTCCGTCACGTGGCGCCTCAGGTGACAAAAAGATGAGAGTTCACCTGTCATCAACGGACATCGACTCCACAGCTAATTGAGTGCGTGTGTGAGTGATTGCGCGAGTGAGAATTATTCGGTTAAAAACCGAACAGTGTACATTTCTCATTTGTGTTCGAAGCTCTAATGATGACAATGTTTGTGTTCAACTTGTTAGCAGAGGAGCAAATCATATAATTTTCATAAAATTATAATTAATTAATCATAAACTAAATTAATTTCTAACAGGTAAAAATATGACTTCGGAGAATCAGTGGACAGCACTGACAAAATGGTATGGAGATAAACTGCTAACCAACACACCTCCCATCATGCCTAAAGTTTATGAGGAACATCCAAAAATTTCTTTTGATGTCAGAGAGAAGAGTGACGGGGATGAGAAAATTGAAGCGAATGGTAAGGGCGATGAGGTTGACAAGAATGACGAGGACGTGGAGAAAAAATCAGGTGTGCCGGCCGGACGAGGCAGTGATGAGTCAGTAGTAGTTGATGCTCTCAAAACAGGTAACAATAAACCGCAAATTAAAAGAATTGAATACCTAGAACCAAAAGTTCAAATAAAGTACCGAGAACAAATTCACCCGAAAGAGCCAACGGAGAATTATACTAATAAATCGCGAACTGAAATTCCAGTGGAAGACAAGCTAGAATTAATTTGTACAAAACTGGACTCGGTGACCAGTGTACTTGTCAAAGTTGTGAATATTCAGAGCAACACAAGTCGCTTTTTAATGGAAAGTATCAAAGAGGTGAGAAATGAAGTGAACGAGGTGAAAAATGATCGAAATGAAAGACTTTACAACATCGAAGAAAGTCTGGAGAAACTGTGCACATGGGCTGAAAATGAGGACTATGACGAGGTATGACGGGTGACAAGGTACAACAAGGAACAATAGGTTACGAGGGTCAAGAGGGTCAAACTCCCTTACTTGATTATTTGATTAAGTCTATTTCATGTTACAAGGAGGGGTAACGGAGGTGGTGAAATGGGTCAGATTTAACAAATAATGGCGGTGAGCATGACGAGGATGAGGAGTTAAATCGCAAAATTCAGAACATTGTTAAAAGACATTTCGTAAACCTAGAACCACAAGTACTGAATCAAAATAGTGGAAGCATAAAAAAAAGCAATGGTGATGTGATTGCAGAAACTCTGAAACTCAATCTATTAGACAAGGGACCATCAGTTAAACGAGATGATAAATTAGATAAAAATACCCGATATGAACAATTCTATGATTATTTCAGATCAGAAGTAAGATCTCACGGACTTTTACATGTTATAGATAATACTCTAAAATTCAAAAGAGATCAAAAGACTTTTGACGAGCACAAATACCGAGTGAGAGATATATTAATTAATCACATAGATAAAGATTATCATTCTAAAGTAGTATCAATTCAAGATCCTGTTGTAATACTAAACAAACTCAAAGAGATCAAGAAATTTGAGAACAACATTTCCTCATACTCTGTAAGATTGGAAATTACAAGCATGAGCTATGATATGACTAAATGTACAGCTGTTGAGTTTGTGATAAATTTGAAGAAGCTATTCGTAATTACGAAAATTCACCTGATGCCACCCCTTTGTCTGAAGAAGAGAAAAGAGACGCGTTTAATAATGCCATTATTAAGGGGATAGGGCCCTGAAATTTGAAAGTCATGGCCCGGCCTCGGGAGCCATTGGACGACTTTTGGTATATGAGGGGATATATAAAAAAGTAAAAAAAAATCGGATCCGACCCGTTTTGCCCCGTACATCCACCAAAAAAGTCATTTTTCGCGTTTTTACACTAAAAATGCTCCTAGGACCGTAGTTCTCAACCGATTTCAAAATTTTTTTTTTTGAAATTTTCGTCACACTTCAAGGAACAAACTCAAGTATCCGTTTTAGTTTATATGCAATAGATCATTGGAAAATGAATTTTTTACTTTTTTACATTTTTTTCGTCATTCTAACAAATCCTAAAATCCATTATTTTTTGTTATTGAACATTGCAATCGCATGTAAATGAAATTTGATGACAAAAAAATGGGTGGCCATGAAAAAATAGCAGGTCCAATATAAAATGGGTTGGAAGCTTTATTTTGCGGTATTTTCCACAATACATATCCATTGTTCCACACATTTCTCTCTGAGTAGGTCAATTAAACTCCTCAAACGTCCATCGCTCCTAATTTCAAATGTCATTGTGAAACCCTCAACTGAAAATAAAACAACTAGAATGAACTCTCAGTACGGAAATTCACATTCCATTGAACAAATGAAAAGGGATGAATAAGAATCAGATGAAGTCGAAAGTATCTCACCTCAGGTTGGATCAGTAGAAGATTTTAGAATGCACCTGCGGCATATGCAGGGCCCTCTTTCTTTTTTTTAGTCGATTCCGCTGCCTTCTTACGAGCTTCCAATTTTCTTTTGATTTTTTTCTTCGAAATCTCTTTTTGTTTTTGCCTGTGGGAGCTGCGGATTTTGTCTTTCTGCTTCAGAATCCCTTTGTTGCTGCTACTGAGTGGATGTTTATCTCGTGATGTTTTTATCTTCTGAGTTTTATAAAAACCCATGTTGAACTCTGCAACAGCAGTAGTGATGGCAATACGAATTTTACTGAGGGAAGAGATTGTATGTTTTGGGCATTTGCTCCAGATGACTGCATGGCGGCTTTCGTTGGTATTTTGAGTGCCTCCCCGACTGCATCTTGGCAATAACTCGGTACTGGTGAGTCTGTCATAAAGGGGACGAATGGCCGAGACCACTGCGTTGTTCAATTTGACCTTCATCTGGCTATGGTCACCTGAGCTCAAGCCCAATGCCAGTCGCTTATTGTAGAAGCACCAAGAGTCTGGTCCATCAGGACAATCACCATGGTTAGGGTCTGCATTAGTTGAGGAGCAATGTTTCAATGTTGCTAGAATTTCCCTCCGCATATTCTCAACAGAATGGAAATTTCTCGAGATTCCATTGCGGAAGTAATTCTTCAGAGCAACCATTGTAGTTTCTTTCAATGCACCCTCAGCACGTCCTCCAATGTTGATACCGTTTTTCTTAGAATCTTGGGCCACTTTTTTCAATCCAGTTTCTAGGCGTTTTGCCACATGATTGATGCACTCATCTTTTTCTATCGGCGTCTCAGGTCCATAAGGAGCCAATTTTTGCAAGGCAATCCACGCTTTAGAGTCTCCATCAGAAAGCATAGTCGTATATCGCATCTGGCAGTTTTCAATTGACCTCTTCCATAAAATTTCTGCAGCTGAGACTTCAATCGACCCTGAAGAACCTTCATGATTGCAACTGCATTGACCCATCTTCTTGTGCTCTTCTTGCCAAAAGTGAAACTCTGGCGATTCTTTACCCAACTCTTCTGCAGTTACAGTACACATATGACAGTACTTTGATAACACCACATAATCAACTACTATTCCTGTCAGGATGTCAATGACTGCTGCTACTCCATATAACGATATGTGTCCTCGTCTATGCCACGAGCCGTCGAAACTCATACAAATATCAATGATCGAATCATCCGTCAAATTTGGATCCAACGCCATGTAAAACTTTCTCACTGCAGCTCGCGATTTAGGCAATACTTCGGCCCTCATCATTTCGTACTGCTTGGATAATGCTGTGAAGTGTTTCTTGTAATTTGTTTCCTGGACGATATTGGTATTTACAGATACAGCGAACTTTTTCATGGCAGCATGACCTAAACCACATGAAAGGAATCCATCGATCATTCTTCTGTTGATTTCAAACGGTGGTCTTTGAGAAGTAGTGTCAACACGCGAACTCGTATATGTTTGACTCATTATGTCACTACAACACAGACACTCCACCCTCAGTTTCGCTGCAGCTCCAAACACTTTTACAATTTGCACTCCAAGCATTCTAGCCCCACAACCACGGCACGGCACATCTTCAAATAATTTTTGAAGGCAGGACATTTGGACAAACATGAACTGATCATTTATATCACTGGTAATTGTACTTTGGCTGAGGGGTTCAAATGCTCCAACTTTCTTATCGAATGCGCTGGTTGCCTGAGTTGTCTGTGGGATTCTGTCGATGACTCTTTAGTCGCCTGAGGAGAACAATGGGAAGTGTCACTCTGTGTATCCGAAGGTGGGACATTGGAAAAACCATTGCCATCCCCAAAAAATTGATTTTGGGACCCGAATCGGCTACTATCCATGGCCGCATCGAAGCATAGGAAATACTCCGGACTTTGGTTTTGTAGGTTAGAAATCTCTTGGGCACTGAAGGACTTTTCTGAAACTCCATCATCGTAATTATTCATCAGGCCAGCGTTGTCGTCTCCGTTATCGTTGTGTTCATCACATTCCATTTGCATCGGTGGAGAATGTATATACCCCATAATTGTTGGTTTACAACTGTCACTGGTTATAGCGGTGTTATCGTTGGTAATTTTTTTTAGCTTTATTACGTGTAACAATTTTCCTCTCCTTTCTAGTAAATTGTCCAATTGAAATAGTATTCAATTGTGTTTATCAGTATTTCACAGCAAAAACAAACGTTTTACTGATGACAGAATTTCACACACAGACGACACTTCATGAGTTTTCAGTGGCGCCATCGGTTGGTTATGATTGTAACAGACGTTCAAATCGTCGCATGTGCGCATGAGCACCATTTTAGACTTGTTTTCAACTTCAAAACTTATATCGTCTTTTTTTGTTGTAAAATTTCGTTTACATGCAATTGCAATGTTCAATAACAAAAAAATAATGGATTTTAGGATTTGTTAGAATGAGGAAAAAAAAGTAAAAAAGTAAAAAAATTCATTTTCTAATGATCTATTGCATATAAGCTAAAACGGATACTGGGCGACCTCTGAGAGTAGTCTTGGGTGTAAACCACCCGAGACAAGCCAAGCCCTGGGCAATCACGGCAATGCACCAGGTGAAAACGCTTAATCGCGTTACTCGTGGGACCAAAAATGGAAACCAATCTAAAAAATCTCAGTATTGAAAAAGTAACTTCGGGTGGGGCCAGCGATTGCGAACACACGAAGTCTGACAAAGCTGACCAGTCTGGTACCGATGTGAATCAGGTCAGACTGAGTGGAGCCGAGAGAAGACGTCGCAAGAGAGCGAAGCTGCACAAAACCTCGGGGGCGATTGCAACCTTAGCGGATGCAGCAGCAAAAGTCGATGAGGGGAATGGGGAAGGGGCTGTGAGGAAGGCAATAAAACGCCTTCCATCAGAGCGTATCACGCCAAGCCCCTCAGTCAGACCGAAAGAAAAGAGAATGAGAACGCAGGATCAGGGCACATATGCTCAGAATACTGCGAGCTCATTCAAGTTTGCAGTTATGCCGGAGTCATATCCGGATCAGAAACTGGGCACTGAAGAGGTAACGGAGGTGAAGAAACTCCTGAAGGGGGCCATTCTGGCGTTACCTGACGGGCTGAAAGCACTCACCTTCAACGGTGTCTGGGAAAGAGAAGGTGTGGCAATGGTATACTGCACCGATGAGGAAACGGGAAATTGGCTGAAAAGCCTTTTCCCCGAAAACGAAATAGCTGGGCTTATTGTACGTGTGGTCGCAGCCTCGGAGCTTCCCAATAAGCACAGGGTTGTACTACACGTGGAAGATCCAGATCTAACCACTTAAGAAGCATTGTGCTTCCTTGAGAAACAGAATGCAGGACTGCAGGCCAGAGAGTGGGTTGTCGCTCGGGGCAGTGTAGGGACGCGAAAAGTGCCCACTTCGTTGCGCTGATAGACGACCGATCACTCTCTGTTCTGAAAGCCTGCAACTTCAGACTGCACTGCGGGATTCAAAAAGCAACTGTCAAGCTGCTTGCGAAAGACCGTGGTGAAAGTCAGAAGAAGGGTACATAGAGGTACCAGGAAAGTAGTCATCATTATGGCTGCAACCCGGGTGCACATTGTACAGATAAATTTGCATCACAGCAAAGCAGCCTCGGCTACTCTAGTCAGGCTATTAGCTGGGATGCAGATAGTCATAGCATTGATCCAAGAACCATGGATAGTGGACAATGCCATTAAGGGCCTCAGTGGTTGTGGCAGAATCTATCACGCAAAAACTCAGGAAAAAATTAGATCTTGTATTGTTATTAAAGGACTAGACTCCTTCTTCTGTTCACAGGCTAGTGAGACCTGGCTGTGGCACAAGTGGATTTGAGCCTGGGACAAGGCGAGGAAATGAGCTTGGTTGTAGGGTCAGTTTACATGGCCTATGACTCGGCTGAACCACCTCCTTCGAAAAAAGTAAAGGACCTATGCAACCATGTGAAGNAAAACCTCGGGGGCGATTGCAACCTTAGCGGATGCAGCAGCAAAAGTCGATGAGGGGAATGGGGAAGGGGCTGTGAGGAAGGCAATAAAACGCCTTCCATCAGAGCGTATCACGCCAAGCCCCTCAGTCAGACCGAAAGAAAAGAGAATGAGNATCCTGCTAGGTTGTGATGCCAACGCGCACTCGCATGTAGCATGGGGGAGCACCGGCATTAACGGTAGATGGGAAAGCCTCCAGGAATTCATAACTGGGGCCGGTCTAAATATCCTTAATAGGGGGTCGGAACCTACCTTCATAGATCGGAGAGGACAGGAGGTCACAGATATTACTCTGGGGACGGATAGAGTGGCAGACATGATTGGAGACTGAAGGGTCTCAAAGGACCTCTCAGCGTCCGATCATCAAACCATAAGAATGTCCATCCACACAGTAAAAGAAACGGAATGGGTAAGAAACCCAAGACGAACAAACTGGGGAAATTACCGAGAAAGTCTATCTGACAAACTTAGGGATATCATCCTCAGATTTAACAACAGAAAGCAGCTGGAGCAAGCTTCGACTGACCTAAACCAGGCCATCATGGACTCCTTCGAGACAAACTGCAGGCTAATCCCGAAAGGGCAGCCCACTGAGACTCCTTGGTGGTCAGAGAAACTCGGTGGGCTGAGGGGCAA